TGTGCTGGGTTATTGTTCCAGGTAACTGCACTGTTTGGCTGATAAGAGCTTCAGAAAATACAGGCAGTGCTGGGGCGGGAATGCAGCCCATTTCTGGGGAGCTGTAAAAGGGAGGAAGGCTGCTGCAGTGATGTGGGTTAAATTGTTCTCTTCCCAGTTCAAGGTCAGTACTGTAGGGTTAAAAGGTACTTGTACAAGGGTCCTGAGAGCTGGGATGTTTCTGGCCCAGGATGACCCCTTCAGAGATGCTTGTCTGAGGTCCTGGTAGGGTCATGGCTCTGCTGTGAGCATCCATCCAGGCCAGCTCCATGCTCTCACCTGGGCACACTGCGGGGTGAGGCAGAGAGCACGGAAAGCCTGAATTCCCTTGTTACTGGTGGTGGGCCTGGCTGCCCTTTCCCTGTGTGCTTATTTAGGATCTGAGGCTGGTTTGTGTCCTGCTGATGTTTCACTTGTTTCAAGCACTTCTGAACGGTGAGAGAGGTTCGCCCTTACCGACTCTGCAGCCTGAGCGCCGTGGCAGGGCAGGACTGAATCGCCCCTGACAGAACGGGCGCGCGAACCCAAACCCTCTGGTTTCCCTCAGTCTCCCCATTGTGCTGGAAATGGGCAGCTGGCCCTGACCTCCATTCTGCCTCATCTGTCCAGACCGCAGCAGTGAGGCTAAGCCCACTGCCAGATGTGGACGTGTACATAAGCAAAGTTGCCATGGGCTGAGACCTCCCAGATTCCTTTATGTCACCGAGCAGGTCGCGGTGACCCACAGCTGACAGTCCCTGGGATATTTTGTGCCTGATCCCGCTGAGTCACCCACTCCCGCTACCCAGCTATCTCCCTCGGCTTCGCACACGGCGTTTCCTGAGCGGCTTGAGCAGACGCGGGTACGCCGAGCGGCGCTGCAGGCGGGTAGGACCACGGAGGCAAGCGGTGGGATGTGTCGCCTCACGTCCCTGGCAGATGGCAAACGTATCCTCCTTTAACACAGCCGCTGGTCGCAGAGCCCAGCCCTGCTGTTTTGACACTGACTCAGCCGTGAAGACACATCTCCAAGGTGACTCTGTGCTTGGGAGGGAGGATGTATCGCAGAAATTCGCTTACATTTGAGGACGTGTGCTGTTTCCTGTTGTTTGGGTCCAGAGAAGGTTTTCCCCAGCAGGGCCTGCTGATATTTTCACCCTTGTACAGTCAGATGGCATCGCCGCTGAGGTCCCAGCGCGCGGCTCCACCAGCAGTGAGTTGTGCTGGTGTAGTGAACAACACTGGGCCTGAAGGGAGGTCCTGAGTGTGGTCTGTCAGCACAGGCTGTGGCTGGAGGCTGCGTTGATTCCTGTGTTAACTGCAGGCAGCTGCAGGCTCTTCCCACACCCCTCGTCCCTGCCTGTCCGTGCCCTCAAAGAGGGAGTCGGTTCAGTGGCTTGATCCAGCAGGAAAACCACCCATCAGAAAAAACAAGCCTGAAATAATTATTCCTTTGGGTCAACCAGCCGGACGGGCAGCCGTCATGGGGAAGGGAACGAGACGTGAGGAGACCCGGGGTGGGGAGGACGTCCCTCCCAAAGCCAGCCTGCGGCTCTGGCGGATCAAAGGCAGGGCCAGCCCATCCTTCCCCAGACATGCTGTGGAGCTGCGTGTGTGTGCCTGTGTTTTTCCACCACCGACCTGACCGTGGATGCCTGCATAATGGGGATACATTACAGTACCAGCTGCAGTTTTATTTAGAAGAGAGTAATGAATATTTTGTTCCAACAGGCTTTTGAGGCTGAACGGCGACCATCTGGTTAAAAGTTTTGCTCTCAGCCGTGTCACGATTCCCCAAAGTGGCAATCAAGCAGCTCTCTGCCGTGGTCATGCCAAGCAGATTTATTTTTAGGTTTGGCTACTGAGCAGGCTCCCAGTTTTCAAAGGCCATTAGAATCCCACTCTCGTTACTAACAGGCGCCCTGGAAGCGGGGACTCGCTTTCGCCTGGAATCGCTAAAACTTCTCGCTGGTGCTAACAAAGCTGAGGCAGACACTAATGAGGGTTTGAGGGCAGACGCTGCCTCAGACAACACTGAAAAGCACAGAGCTGGCTGCAGAACCAATTGTGCTGCTCTTAAAAAAAAACACCAAGCTGTTGCTACTCTTTTATTAGGTATACATCCCCAGAGAGTCGTTTTAAAGCTCCAAAGTACTGTTTTCTCTGCCATTGGATACTCTCTGATACTTTGGGGAACAGTTTCTATTTTCCGCTGTCGAGCTGCTTGACTGCATTGATTTTTTTGTGTTAACGGCAGCAACAGGTCACGGGTGAGAGTGAGATCTTTTTTTCCAGGTGCCTACACACAACGTACGTATGTAATCTTAACCTTCCCCGAAGAGAGATACGGGAGTTCAAACAGAGGAAGAATTTAGCCTGCTCCACGGTAGCACTGTAAAGCTGCGGACCGGCCCCTGACCCGATGGATGGGTCCTGAGGTGACTGGATTGTCTGCTGGAAATTAGCAGGAAACCAGTTTGCCCCGGAGGCTACCCGGTCCGTATCTCTATCTGTGTCTGTTTTATTGGGACGGGTGAATTAGGTGCGTGTAGATAGATGCCAAAAGCAAAAGTTTCCCAGTGAGTTCCAGTTTAAGCCCTGGTTGTACTGGAAATGACAGTTACCCCTGGGGGCTGAAGGGGCGTTTCTGATAGGAGAGTTCAACACCATCTCGGTTTTTCTCTCCTCTGCAGCATGGACAAGGACAGCCAGGATGTTCACCAGGTGCTGAATGAGCTCAAGAACAAATTCCAGGAGATGAGGAAGCTGATCAGCTCCATGCCCGGCATCGGTGTGAGCCCAGAGCAGCAGCAGCAGCAGCTGCAGAACCTACGGGAGCAGGTCCGGACCAAAAATGAACTGCTGCAGAAATACAAGAGCCTTTGCATGTTCGAAATCCCCAAGGAGTAGGAAAGGCGCAGCTCTGCTCTCCGGGTCCCAGGTACCTCCTCTGCTGGCTGAACAGGAGAGCAAAAGGTGGCGGAAGTTTTCCTTTGCTTTCTTTTGTGCTTTTTTGGTGACATTGCGCTGAATTTGTGTCTGTGTGAATCACAGGCGTGTGACACTGAGCCAGAACACTGTGTGCTTCACGTATGAGGACCGCAGCGGTGCCTTCGCTTTGATCTGCTGTAGGACTGTGCGTTTATGTATGCATCTGGTTTCTCTCAGGGTGGGGGGAGCGTTTTTTTTTTTTCTTTACATCCAGGCAAGTAGGAGACATTATGTTTTCTCCTCACTAAGGGTCAAAATACCTGCTGGTTAACTTCAGCAAGAAAAAGGGGGCATTTTTTGCAATTTTTTCACTTCTGAACTGTCACAAGTGGCCAGAGATCAAAAAGGGAGCAGGAGAGGGAAGCGTGAGCTGTTTGGCCCCGCTCCTGGAAAGGGTCTCTGGGGCCTTTTCCAGCCTGTGTGTGTTGAAAGAGAAATGATTGCTTTCAATTACTTATGTATTTCTCTTTCTTTCTCTCTTTTTAAACAAGTGATGGTTGTGTCTGAGATGAGTCAAGTAAAGATTTAGAAATTCCAAACCGCTCCTCTTGTGTGTTCACTGAGTGGATGTGGCTGAGCAGGGGGAGGACTTTGGCAGCACAGAGGTCATACGTAGCCTGGCCCTTGTGCCTTTACATCACTTTTTTGGGAGCGGGGTGACTCGGGAGAGCAAAGCAAGGACCGCCAGAGGAGTGGATTTCAGTAGGCTTTGGGTGCATGAATCTCCTTGGGTGAGTGCAGCTTGTAGGCAGTAGTTAGGTGTCTTGCTCTTAAAACAGAGGAAGGGAAAGGAGAATCCAAACCAAGGGCGTAAATGCCAAGAGCTTTCAGTTATTCCGTGCGACAGAAGTCAGGCTTGACAGGATGGGTCAGTTCCACATCCAAAGCGCTCCGGGGGCTTCCCACCAACACAAGCGTTTGGGCGGCGCGAGCATTTGCCAGCGGCTGATGGAAAGCTCTGGGATGTCGCGTTGGATCCCAGGCTCCCTGCCCTCCGTCCTGCTGTTTGCCGTTACGGTGGCTGACGGCAGCCTGGTCAGCAGCACCGCATCTCGCCGGCTGACAGACACGGCAGGACCTCAGGTCTCATGGTTCTCTGTGCTGAAAGATGGTGCAGGTCGGTAGTGGAAGAGGTAGTGGAAGAGGGACCAGATGGTGAACAGCTGGCGAAATACGGTATCTGTGGAGAAGCAGCATCCAGAGGCAGGGAGCACTTGTGCCTTCAAAAGAAGAGGAGCGAGGTCTGTTTGCCAGTAATTCTGCTCGCTGGGAGCTGGGACGGTTGTGACTCACCTGTAGCCCAGAGATTATTCTGTCCCCGCTGGAATTCTTTACTAGTACTTTCTTTGGGAAGGTGCCAGTGTGTCAACTCTGAGTAAAGCAGAACACCAAGATAAACAAAGCACAATGTATGCTCTTTTTATTACAGAAATTACCTTTCTGCCAGCCATTGCCTGTCCCAGCTCAATAAATTCTTGTGTCTCATGCCTGGACGGTGGTTTCCCTTTTTCTGCCAGTCGCTGTTCCTGTGAAAGCCGGAGCTGGAAGAAACAACGTGTTTCCAAAGAAATGCCTGGCACAGCACGCAGGGACAAGTTAACTCTGTCAACCTGAATCCAAGTTTCAAACGAAACTGAAGCGGTTTGGTTTGCAGTCTCACTCGCCCACCTTAGTTTTGTGGCTTTGATAGATTTTTTTTTTTTTTTGCTATGAATATGTATTAAACGTAGATTTGTTCTGCCGCTCGGGGAGGGGAACGGGGACCGAAAATGAACTGAAACAGAAGCTGGAGCCAGGGAGAGCTGTTCTTTGAAGAGCTTTCCCCTTTCACTTCCAGCTGCGGTTATGGCGACTTGTTTTTAGCAAGGGATTAAAACCCATCAGATGCAGAGGTGACCTTTTGAGCAAAGTACTTCCTTTACTCATATTGCAAAATAAAAACAATATCCCGGACGGGGCGCAACTGAATCACTCTCTGTTGACATCATTAAAGCGTGCTTAGTTAACCGAGGAAAAAAGCACGAAACGCAATCAGCTCTTTATAACGAAGTGATGTCAGTTTGCTGGGTTTCTGCCCTGAATGACCTGCCAATGCCCGGCGTGGGGCTGGCAGGATCCTCACTCGGCCTTCGCGAAGTGAGGAAAGAGTCCTGGCTCGGTGACCCGAGGTTTGAGTAACTCTGTGCGTGGCCCCTCGTTACCCCGTTGCTTGCAGAGACGGCAACCTTTGCGCTGGGAGTCGGAGAAAGTGGGGTAATAAAGGGACTGAGTTGAGAGGCCGTTCTCGGCACCTCGGAGCTGGGCGCAGGGCTCGGTTTAACAGGATTGGGTTTTGCTTACGGGGCCGGGCAAAGAAGCAAAGGCAAACCCACAGGTGTCGTTTTAAAAAGATTTTATTACTTTGTAGAAAAAATAAAACATCAAGTTTCACCCACGGTAGAAACACTTGAAGATTTTAAAAAACCCTTCCCGCTCCCCCCGCCCTCCCCACATCTTGCAGATCAGACAAGACGAATGTAAACAAGAGTCAGGTTTTTTGGTCCATCGGGGCTGTAGCTCCGCAATGCCTTTGCAACAGCTTAGGAGTGTCTTCTGCACGTGTTTTGCAGACACAGACGAACACACGACACAGAGCCAGAGTCCGTGCACAGCTTCTCAAGTTAAAAAAAAAAACCAACAAAAAAACCCCAAGCCCAGAGCCCCAAGCAGGCCTCTGCCCTCCCTGCCGAAGGCAGTGCCCGAGGCTGGGTGGTTTGGGAGGGAAAGAAACGCCAAGGTCGGTGCCCTCCGCACTCATCCTCCCACCTGGCCTCTCCCGGAGGAGGCTGGTCCCCACGACACCCCCCTCCTGCCCTCCAAAACCTCCCCCGTCGCACCCCTCGCTCCCAAAATGCCCCCCCCCAGGGGAGGGAGCCGACGAAAGGGATCCCTCGGGAGGAGGGAGGCTAGGGAAGAGGCGACCCCCCCATCTCTGCTCGGGTGGGCGCCTGCCCGGTGGGCGCCTGCCCACCCTCCTGCCTGCCCAAAGTCAGTTTGGAAACGAGCATCTTTCCCCCCCTCCCTTCCTTCCATCCTTCCTTCCCGTCGCGGGGCGAGCAAGGGCTCCTAGCTGATCACGCAGCGGTCCTTCTCCTTGCCGTGCCCGCCGCCGATGGCTTTCTCCCGGATGTACATGAGGTCGCTGTGGACGCTGGGTCGCCGGGCGAAGGGGGCCACGATGCCGTACGCCTCCTCCGTGCCGCCCCGGCCCCCCTCTTTCAGCAGCTTTTTGCCTTTCAGCGCCTTCTTGTGCAGGATGTCGCAGTACTGGACCGAGACTTTGCGGTGGAGGTCAGGGCTCATCTCGCTGGGCAGCCTGGCCATGGCGAAGAGCGCCTGGAACATCTGGTCCAGGCTGCTGTTCTTCTTGGCCGAGATCTCGAAGTAGGCGCATTTTTTGGGGTCCCCTCCCACCAGCTGCTCGATCTCCCGGGGCTGGACCTCCCGGTAAAAGTCCCGGTCGCCCTTGTTGCCGCAGATGACCAGGGGCACCTCGATGTTCTCCTTGGTTTTGTTCTTCAGGCATGACTTGGTCTCCAGGATTTGCTGCTTCAGGCGCTGCACCTCCTCGAAGGAGTCCCGGTTGTCCAGGCTGAAGACGAGGATGAACACGTCTCCTGGGGACAAAGAGGGAACATGAGATGGCTGCAGGGACGGGGACACGCAGAGACACGCTGCCTAAGCTGAGACACGGAGAGGGAAGGACCGGGCAGGACCTCTACCCCGCATCCTCCCGTCCGCCCCGTGCAGGGAGCAAAGTTGCCCATTTCGTCCCCGCACAAAATCCCACCTCCCTCCTCCCAGGACTGGAGAAACATCCCCAAACTGGGCAAGAAAGCCTGAAATCAGGCAAGGGACGCCCCTCCACCCCTTCCTCCCAGTGCTCCCCAGCCAAGTACCTGTGAGGATGGAGAGACGGCGCATGGCTGGGAAGGGGTGGTTGCCCGACGTGTCCAGGATGTCGAGCTGGTAGACCTCGCCGCGGATGCTGTAGAACTTGCGGTGGAAGTCCTCGATGGTGGGCGTGTATTGCTCCTCGAAGCGGCCGGTGAGGAAGCGTGAGACGATGGCCGTCTTGCCCACCTTGGAGGAGCCCAGGATGACCATGCGGTAGCAGTTCTTGGCGGGGATGCTCAGCTCGGCCTCGCCGGGACACATCTTCTTGATCATCGCCGCCAGTTTCATTGAAGCTGGCAAAGGGCCAGCTTGCGCCGAGAGGAAGAAGGAGAAGGAGGAGGAGGAGGAGGAAGGCGACGTCTGCCCGGCTGCTCAGCCCTTGGCAGCAAAGCCCGGTGTCAGCTCTGCGCGG